TAATTTGAGTTTTTCTATAATCGATTGTCAAACAATGAAACTGATATTGTTTGTTACCTTTTGCATTTTGTTTTTTGCCGTTGTTCAGGTGTCCAAAAGAAGTTTTGCTCAGGCTTCGGCTCATTTCTACCAGATGAATTTTACAATACGCCATAACTGGTGATCCAGTCAGTTTTTTTGTTAAAATGAAATTGTTCTAATGATTTCACAATATTCAACTAAAACTCACCAAAACTTTACCAACAGTTGATAATTCTCTTAGATTTGAACAACATTACCAAAACTTGAAAACTCTCTTAGATTTGAGCAACAAAATCTAAATCAAAAATAAAAATTCAAAAAAACAATACAATTAGAATGGGATAGAAAATTGCACACATTGATCCGCAATTAACAATTTGATGTAATGTCACCAAGAAAAAAAAACAACTGACAAGAATAATTTACTCACAGGGTTGAAATAGAATGAGTTGTTTCAATGGAAGCTGAACTAAAAAAGGTAAAAAGTCAAAATCACTTGGAGTAAAAATTCTGAAGCGTGAAAAAAAAAACTGAAAAACAAACATAAAATTTAGGGTACGAACAAAAAGTAAATATAAAGCAGACACGTCAAATGAAATAACTTGAAACAATTTAAAATTTGTGCTTTGAAAATATTCAGAACAACCACGCAAATTGTGATTTCTAGAAATATATTTGATGTGAAGGATTTAGAAGTTAAAATTATGTAAAAACTTTTCATGCAATGGAGTTTAAATTTTAATAATTATGCAATTTCTTTTTAGAAAAGTCAGATATAACAAAAAAAAATCAGAATTACGAGATCGCTTCTTTTACTTTTTAGGTGAATGAAAACAAAACAATGAAGGTCAAAAACATCAAAGCTTTGGAGCCAAGTCAGGATTGCTGAAGCTGAAAGGAAAAGAGAACAAAACATTTTTTTAAATAGAAACAATATCTATAAAAATAATTCAGTATTGTGATGAGCTAACCACTCAACTTTGTGTGGAAAACAGAAAATGAAAAATTGTTTGTTTGAAATATTAGAATATAGCATAAATGAGAAACCTCCAATATAGAAAACAAAAGTCCAATTTTAGAAAATAAATAAATAAACCAAACCTGTGTATCTAGTTAAATCACAAACGTGCAATCACGTCACAATTGTGAAAAAAGGAGTGAAGTAAATATTGTGATTATACTTCATGAACTTGAATTTTTTTCAAGAACATCAAAACTTTAGAACCGAATCAGTAATGTTGAAACTGAAGTAAAAATTAGAAGGCATAGTAAAAATGAGAAACCTCCAATACATTAAATAACAGAAGTCAAGTTTAAGAAAAAAATCATAAACCGAATGTGTGTCCCTATCAACTAACAAACACGCAATCACGTCAGAATATTGAAAAGAGGAGTGAAATAAAAAATGTGATATTGCTTCAAAAACCCAAGAAACTTCGAGAAAAATAAATTATAAAGTTACGTAAATAATCAATAAATTAGTCAGTATCGAAAAAAAATTTAAAAATACTTTCTTTAAAGTTAAAAATTTACAATTCAAATTCAAATATCTGATATTGCACAGAAATCAGAATCTTGAAAACGCTACTAAAAATGAAATTTTCAGCAAGTTTTTTGGTGGTTTCTGAAAACTTTTCATTCTTGTGGTGGACTTGCATTTAGACCGAAAGCAAAATGTGAAAAAAACCAAATGTGATCTTTATGATTGTCCACCAAGTTGTTTTTGTGATCGAAAAAAGAAATTGACGCTTTATTAGAGCTTCGCATTGTTTATTTTGTATCTTACAAGGCTTTCGAAAATACTTCAAATTGAAGATGAGACACTTTAGGAAACTGATTATTACGAATAAAGTACTTTTTCGTTCTTTGTTTGAATTTTTTAGCCACTAACTAAATGTTTTGTTTGGTTGTAGAAACTGGTTCTGCGGTTGAAAGAACATGAAATGAAAGTTTAAATATGTGATGTAAAGTGTTGAAAATTTAAAAGTTTTCAAACCTTAATACTCCGGCCGAGTTACAAAATTAGTTTTTTTGGAAAATGATCGAAACCATTCGGGAAGTTTTTCCTAATGTATTTTTTATTTGTAAATTTGCAAGCTACCATTGTATATAGTTTTTCATTTTTATACTGACTTGAGCTTTCTATGCCAAAAATCGGCTGATTTAGGAAAAAAATATGATCGAAATTTGAACCAGAAAACTCAAAATAGGAAATTTGAGTTAAAACGTTTGTAGGTGAAATATGCTCAGTAAAAATGCATAAAAACAAAAAAATGGCCGGAATGTTACGGACTGTTTTAAGCCAACAATAGAGAAAATTAATAAAAAAAAGAGCTCGACGTCCCTTTAAGTGAGAAAATTAAACCACAATTTCAACTAATTGGTAGAAAACTTAGAACAAAAGGACATCGTTATGAATTTTAAAACGAAAAGACAATTTTAAAACTCTCTCAAAACGACGACTTTTTCTCTCTCAATAGTTTTAAAAAATGCTTTTAGAACATCCTCCAGGTCGCCGCTCCTTCGCAACAGCCATCTACTTCCAAACATTCGTTCTTCAGAAACATCTTTGAAACAATAAAACAGAATGAGTTAGGAAATTTCCCTTAACCTTCCGTAATTTGACGTGATATCAAAAAAACGAAGTTAAAGAATAACTTATTCACAGGGTTATAAATTTTTTTTTGAAAATGAGTTGTTTTAATGAAACCTGAAATGAAAAAGACAAAATATCAAAACAACCTGGAGTAAAATTTCTGAAATTTGAAACAAAGTTAGAATTGAAAAACATATTAAAATTAGAAATATGAACAAAAAGTAATTATTAAGCAGACCTGTCATTTGACTTAAAACTAAAACAGTTAAGATTATGTGCTAAGGAAAAAAACTAAATTACGAGTTTCAAAAAAAACCAAACAAATTGTGATTGTGAACTTAAAAATCTTTTTTTTGTTGTGAAGATAAGAGTAGTCAAAATTTTGTATAAACACCAGTCAAAAAAATACAAAAAGTTGGACAAAATTTTTCATTTTTTTAAGTAAAAATCACCAGTTTCAAAGCTATCGTCACTTAAGCTGAAGCATCCTTAACAAAAAAATCCGCAACAAAATTTAAACTCATTAGTTGTTAATATTTAGAGCTAGAGCCAATGCGATCAACAAGTTGGGTTTGGGGAATTAAGTTCATCAATGTTAAAAGTGCAGACAGAAAATCTAAATTCAAAAGAAACTGACAAATGAATCGGGATAAATGAATCAAAATAAATTGTTCGAAATATGATGTCAAATGAATGGATCGAAAGTTCTCCTTAATTTATCCGTTTGTCCTTTTTTTGACCTTGATTTGATAATCTGACCTCAATACATCAAAAGTATCTTCATAGTTTTTCCATGGTTTGATGGTATCGATTTTTAAATTCGATTAAGAGTTTTAATAGTAATGCGCATTGGTCAGAAAAAAAACCTCCAGCTAGTCTCTTTTAAAGTTAGTATAATACTATTCGCAAAAATTAATACCAACTTTGTTTCCTCAATTGTCATTATCAAGGGCGGGTCTAGGGTTTTCTCGAACGGGGGGGGGGGGGTGGCGAATTTTCAAAATTACATCAAAATTTTTGTCGAATTTTTTTAAGGTCGATCAAATCGATTTTCTGAGCTCTCCCAAATCACTATACAGACTTTATTTTGACCTACTTTTTCGTCTTTTTGGAAAGTGTTGACCAAAAAACCGCGTTTTTCGGAGCGCTCTCCCCTCAAAATTAGTATAGTTTGGCGCCAAAGTTGCCATTAGAAAACTTTTATAGGCCGTCAGTCAAAAAAGGGTATCTCAAAATAGTACAAAAAAGGACCCTTTGAGTCGGAAGGGGGTCGAATCCTTGAAAGGAAAAGCTGGTATATAACAGAAAAAGCGATGATGGCTCTTTTTTGAGTTATAACGGGTTCCATTTTCCATGCCCCCCCACCTCACACGAGCTTCAATATGTTAGTGTAACGAGTGGTTTTACGAGGTTGAGTATGAGGACCAAATATGTTTGTCGTGGCCTTATTAGTTTGCATGGGAATTTTTATAACAATCGGACAATGCGATCCACAATTTTGCATGTAAAAATTTGCAGGTGGGGGGAAAAGGAAAAAGAGCCGCGATGATTAACGGTAGGACTTCAACGCGGAAAAATCATGCAAGATAACAGGCAGAAGTTTCGAAGGCGGTTTTCCTGTCCTCTTATTTCGAGTTTTCTTTTTCAAATTTCTTTCAAAATTTCTTTTTCCAATTTTTGTTTCTAAATTTTAAGGGCAACATAAATTTTGCTCAGATGTAAAGTGTGACAACAAAAAGGTGTCTTCTCCAGTTTAACATCCCCCCCCCGCTCTCAAACAATTTGAAAAATAAAACTGAAAACTGTTCAAACTTGGTCTCACATCGATTTGCAGGTGATACAGTTTACACAGACTTTCATTTAGCGAAGATCCAAAAAAATCAAAGGGGAGGATTGGAAAAGGGCCGAACAAAATTTTCCTTGAAAATGGTGGGGAGTTTAGTAGAAAAGAGCTAAAATTGAAACTATTTGTGTGAATGCGAAAAAATTAGTCGTTAATGAAAAGTTGTCAGAAGTTGTCCAGATAAAATTTGAGGTTATCTAGAATTTATCTGACCAGAAACCGGACCTTTACTAATTTCCAGCAGCAAATCAACAATATATTTTATCATTAAGAGCATGAATGATCCGGGACTTCGATTTACGAAAAAGTTATCCGAAATTTATTAAAATTAGAGTCGATTTGTGTTCTTAGAGTCACTTGGAAAATTTAGCACGTGCGGAAATTCTGATTCACCTTTTGTTTGGCAAGGACATCATTTGGCAACTAATTAACCTCCGTTTTTTCAACTCAGTATTTTTGGCTTGTTTTTAAATCAGTAACTTCAGCTTTTTTCAACTAAGTCAATCATAGCTCGATTTGCGTTTCAAATAATAGTTAACTATGACCAATCAGCAAACAAAGTTGAACAAGCAGGAAGTAACTCAAGGTCAAAAGGTCAACGATCAAGGTCAGATGAAAGGTGAACGTCCTCCAAATGGTTACTACGACAACTCAACTGACAGAATGAAATATGAAATAGCTGCAAGAGATTCAGCAGCGCGTAGCAAAGCTCGTAGCAGTGATGGTGACAACAGGTTTCCTAATAACGAAATAGTTATAACGAAATTGTTAAATCTTTGTTTCATATCTCCGTTTTTTTCCCAGTGAATAAGAATAAAATTTATAAAAATCTAGCCCTTCATATCTTTAGACTTTGATGTTTCAATTTTGCGAGTATAGTGGGAAAAAACCAAGATAACTCACGCATTTAGCAATAGCAAGTCACGCTCAAAGTAACGAAACATTCAATCATTGCATTATGATAAATTTGCTTGAGAAAAAGGAATTAGCTGTGAAAAATTATTATCCTTGTTTCAGATCAGTCGGAAGAAAAAACTCAAATAAAAAGAATCATTTGAATGCATACTACACAGGGGTGGACCTGTTCCCAGACTCAAGTGAAGGCGAGGACGAATTGGAAGAGAATGAATCAAGTATATCAAGTTCTTAATGAAGTAAACGTAACACGTATCGAATTTAGTTTCAATCGTATCAAATCTAAACATCTTTTTATCACTATCACTACCATATCTAAAAACTTCCCAGGATTTTTACTGGAATGCATAATGAAAAAATATTGTAGTCAAAGAATTGATCAAGAGTGAGATCAAGAGCTGGAGGAGAACAAAGTTGTGCGCTCAATCTGAAAAAGCTGTATAAGACAAATTAAATTATGAGTATTTTTCGGTAAACACACATAACAAGAAATAAGCAATGTCAACGGTTTGCATAATCAAGATCACAAAATCAACTTGTTTCGGTACAACTCGTTTTTTGAGATAATTTCGCGCAAGCTAGCCACAAGAACCGGTCGGTAATGTCCTTGAGACAAATTGCTCTTTTTGGCGGTCAGCCTTAATCAAGGCTGAACCGAATTAGAACCAAAAAACAGTTAAAATAGAATGTAACCCCCGTTTTTAGTATATTAATACATGGGCAGGTGGGGGACTCGAACCTACGTCAACTGTTAACCTATATAATCGGCGTTAGCTTAGGCCACTCGGGCAACTGTGCCTATTTTATATGCATCTATACTCTTGTTTTATTCTGTACTCTTGTTTTGCATTGCAACATCCTCCCCCCTGAAGAAGGAAGAACCGGAGCGAGCTTAACGGTCGGCCGCGTGATTTCACGGGTTGCGGTCCTGACAAGGGCGGATCGGACGCAACCGTCCTGTCCGTAGTTCAGCTTGACGATTCGGGCAAGAGGGTAGTACCCACGCGGACTATCAGGCTCAATCACCCACACGAGATCGCCTGTTTTAAGAGTGAAGTCAGAATAAGTGTGCCACTTGACACGCTTATTCAGCGAGGGAACATATTCTCGAAGCCAACGAGACCAAATCGCGATAGCATATGCCTGCGCTCGCACGTACCTTTTTTTGTGATCGAAGTGCTCCCCGGGTAAAAGCGAAGGAAAGCTTGTGGCATTTTGTCCAAGCAAAAAATGGTTTGGGGTTAACGCTTCTAACTCACATGAATCGGTACTAACGGGAGTGATTGGCCTCGAATTCAAAGCCTGTTCAACTAGCAGAGTGTTGTTCCTAACACCTCTTCAGTGACTCGCCTACTGCCTATGATATCGTACAGCACGCGCTTCACGCTTCGGACGAGGCGTTCCCAGGAGCCGCCATGATGGGGTGCGCCTGGCGGGTTAAATTTCCAAGTAACACCTTTCTGTGGAAAAATGGTCGGAGCCATGCCATTCCAGCTCTTGATGCAGGCAAGTAATTCCTTTTCCGCACCAACGAAGTTCGTGCCATTATCCGACCAGATTGTGCTTGGCGTACCACGGCGCGCAGCGAACCGTTCAATGCCCATGACACACGAACTGGTGTCCAGAGATGGTACAATCTCAAGGTGTACAGCCCTGGTGGTGAGGCAAGTAAAAAGAAATCCCCATCTTTTTTCCGTGCTTCTGCGAACCGGAACGTAAAGCGGTCCAACGTGATCCACACCCGTATGATTGAAGGGTGGTTGCTTGTATCCGAGACGTTCGACAGGTAAATCGGAAATAATTGGCTGGATGGTGCTTGCTTTGCGTTTACGGCATGTCACACATTGATTTTCGATAGACCGAAGTAGTCGACGCAACCCAAGTATTGCATATTTCATATTTAAAACGGAGCGCATGTAATCTAATCCTTGATGAAAATGCTTATGGTGGAGGCTGCGGACCAACAAACGAACTAAGGTATGTCGAGCGTCGAGTATTATTGGGTGCTTAGTATCAAACTCGGTATTCACTAAGCTCACAATCCGTCCGGTGGAACGAATGATTCCAGCGGGACCAATAAATGGCGAGTATGTGGCAATTTCACTCTTATTCTTAATAGGTTTGCCAGCGGTGAGTGTTTTTTTACTCAACGGGGAAGGATTCCATCTGAGCAAGATGAATCAGTTTGCTTTCTGCAATATCAACTTCAGTGGGGTTGGTGATTCGTAAGTCCTTACCACGAAAATTGTTATGTGAAGGCAACATCCTCAACATAAAAGCGACTACTCGTTTATATCTTGTAAAGGAACGAAACCTTTCCCAATTGAACCCGTGTTCGGGATGTTTGATGGATGTGACATCGGTGACGAAGGAAGATGATGTCTCCAAGCAATTATCAACATCACAAGAAGGACCTTTCAAACGAATTTTATTGATTACACGTTCGTCGGGTATAAACGGCCATTCAGTAGTCCTGAGTATGCTCGGACCAATAACCCAGCTGCTATCCTTGAGGGCTTCCGAAGAAATCCCCTGCGTACCGGCATCAGCTGGATTATCGCCGCTCAGAACATGGTGCCACTCATCAATAGTGGTCGATTCGAGAATTTCGCCGACACGATTAGCGACGAATGCAGGTAATTTTTCAGTGGAGTTTAGCCACTGCAAAACTGTTGTTCTATCTGTCCACATGTAGACATGATTAACAGAGACGGTAAGGGCGGCCAGTATATCATCTTTTAGTCGTGTGGCGAGCAGAGCAGCTTGAAGCTCTAGCTTCGGTATAGATAGCGCTTTCATGGGCGCAACGCGAGCTTTACCAAAGATGAAGGATATTTGAGTTTTGTGCAAGCTCGAGAGTCGCGCACGCAAAAATCCAACCGCACAGAAAACGTCCTGCGATCTATCACCGAACATGTGGACCTCAATTTGATCCACAGGCTCCGTGAAGTAACAACGGGGAATAGTCAATTGCCCTAAGAGAGGGAGACCGGAGTGCCACTCGAGAAACTTATCTCTTATGTCTTCTGGCAATTCGTCGTCCCAATTTTGACCACTGATTTTCCAAATATCTTTAAGTAAAAGACGGGCCCTAACTGTGTATGGAGGTACTAACCCAACAGGGTCAAACACAGAAGAGACGAAGAGACGGTTTGTTGAGTTATTGCTTTATCGAGAGGACGATCCAAGCCTCTGCTAACAACCAATGTGTCTTTTACATGGTCCCACTTAAGACCTAAGACGTGTGATGATTGTTCGGCACCGTTACATAGTTCCTTGATGGGTGAAGATGAGGTTTCGGATTCCTCGGGGTTCATTGCTGAAGTGATTTCATCAGCATTACTGACAAATTTAGTCAAATTAAATCCTCCTAATTTTATTAAGGAAACCAAATCGCGACTAGTTTTAATTGCTTGGGTAACGTTCTCGAATGAATCCAAGTAATCATCCATGTAAAATTTTTCATTTACGACTGAGGCGGCCTCAGGGTATGTGGACATATTATCAGTTGCTTCTTTTTCGCAACGCGAAATTGGCGCACATAGGCGAATCCCGTGCGCCGAATATATGGCGAGTGTACTGATGAACTACCACATCGGAAGTGGTATCCTCCCGCCACAAAAAACGGAGCGAAATTTGATCGCGGGCAAGGACTTCTACCTGGAGGAACATACCCTCTATATCCGCGGAGACGGCGTACTTGTGTTGACGGAATCGCAAAAGCACAAAAATTAAATTTTGGAGTAGGTCAGGACCCACCAATAAGGACTTAGTTAAGGATGTGCCATGAAACTTAGAAGTACCCTTAAAGACTCGTCGCACGTTACCCGGCTGATTCGGATTTACGACGGGGTGGTGCGGAAGATACCACTCGCGATCGGAACGCTTACGTGGATCATGCGGTTCGACGGTAACGACATAGCCTTTCCTAATGTCCTCTCTAATTGTCTCTGCGTATCTTTCGAGCAGTTCAGGTTCTTTACTTAACCTTCTCTCCATTGTTTCAAATCGGGAGAGTGACGAGTAGTATTTGTTTGGTAGACTGACATTACTATCAATCCAAAGCGAATGCACAATGTATCTTTCACCATTGTGAACGGTTTCAGAATTTAGGATGGATAAAGCATGTTTATCCGCGGCGGAACGGGCATCGACTTGTTTGAAAGTACCATGCGATTCCAAATCGTACCAGGATTTTATCTGGTCGGTCAGAGAAGAATCTTCAACAACACACATGAAACACGAAGAAGTAGAATTACCGGACGGCGGCAACGGACTACTTAAGACCCAACCTATCGGTAGACGAACGGAACACGGTGAGTTTTTATCATCTCCCAAGATGAACTCAATGGGTCTAACGGCGTGGTAGTAGTCTTGTCCGATAATAACTTCAACGTCCTCATAAGTATATTGAATGGGCTTAATAGGTGCTAATTGTGGATATTTATTCTGCAAATCAGCAAAATTGATTAATTCGGAACCAATCCGAATATTGTCTTTAACATATGCACAGAGAGAAAATACGAAATCACTATTATTCGGCTCGGAGGAAACTGTAAATCTGACCCTCTGAGTCTCAACAACGGTGGTTGAAATGAAACCACTAATTGACAAGTTAACGGGCTCCCCTACTAAGCCGAGACGGTTTACGAGTGACGAAGACACCCAGGAGTGAGTCGATGCACTATCACAAAGAATCAACGTCAGGAGACTGGTTACATCTGAGGATACACCAAGTGTTGCAATTGGCAACAACCCTTTAGAAGATTCAAGGTCATGTACATCACTAACAGCGGCATGGGTGGAAGTGTTTGTATTCTCCTTGGATTTGTTTGTTCCAGCCTTATTCGAGGCTTTCGAATTTTACTTCCGAGGAAATATTCTTTCGGCTCCATGGAGCAAGAAATTATGTGTGCTATCACACTCTGGCTTCGGGCACTTTTTTGCTCTAGAACATTGCCGGAAACTATGATTGCCATTGAGACAAGCGAAGCAAAGTTTCTGTTCAGCTACGTATTTTGCTCGCTGAGTAGCATTCTTTTCCTTAAAAACAGCACAATTCCACAATGCATGACTACCCTTACACAAAACGCACGGCGGAAACTTAGACTTATCCTGAGCCTTACTAGTTACCTGGCTATTGGCTGCAAAAACTTTGGTTGTTTTTGGTTTAACTGGTTCCTCGTTTTTTGCCTTAGAGTTGAGTAAACGTAATCTT